TTTCTTTCTTTCTTTCTTTTTCATTGCTCTTATTATCTCCCCTTTCCTTCCCAATCCCTGCACTCAGCAATTATAAACAAAAACAAAATCAAAACTTCTCTTGTAACAAATAGAGTGAAGCAATCAAATCCACACATGGCCATATCTAACAAGTTATGCCTCATCCTGCACTTCAAGTCTATCATCTCTTTGACAGCATACTATCGGATTATAGGAAAACAGATTGAGAAGTACAGGGGATCTTACTGGCCATCTAATCCAACTCTTATTTAGCAGATAAGGAAACTGAGAGCCATGGAGATAAAGTGAATTGCCCATGGTCACAAAGGTAAAAAGTGTCACAGGTGGAATTTAAAGCCAAGAGTATTTTTTTAAAATCATATTATTGTTTTATTTCTTAATAAAGCATTAATTAAGTGCTTACTATGTGCAAATCCCTTTACTAAACAGAAAAGACAGTCCCTGTTCTCAGAGTCACATTCTGTGAGGGACTGTCTGATGTTGGCAGCTGCCAGGTCGGGTACTGTGGCAAGGGTAGGGTAAGATCTGGGTATTTTGGAAGTCGAGGCAGGGACTGTGGTAGGCAGAGTCGTGTGTACTGGGATGGGCTGGATACGGAGAAGCCATGAGGCAATTGGGCAGTGCTATGAGATAAGCTGGGTGCAAGGAAGTAGCCGAGCCTGAGCTCCTGAGGCAAGGGGCAGTGCCACGTGGGAGTGGGATGGCAGAGGACTGAGTTCCCTCTGCTTAGTCCCCTCCCTATATGCAACGTCATCCCCAGATGCCTCTTGTGACCTTCCTGACCTCCGGGTCCCTTTGTGCAGCACTGACCCAGTCCCCTCCTGAGTCTGACTTCCTAGGTCACGTACTCTTGTCTATGCGTCAATCCCAGATGCCTCCTTCCTGTATCCAATCCTAGCCTCCTACGTCACTCCCTCCCCCTTGGTGTGCTAAACTCAGACAGCCCCTTCCGGTATCTGACCCTACAATCATTGGCTAGTAGCGGGCTGGGGAGGAGGGGCTAAGTAGGTACTTAGGAACAAGCGTGGTCAGAACATACACGTGCGCTCTCCCCTGGCTCCTGCCCTGTTGCTCTGGCCTTGCTGCTTGGGCTTGCTATGATGGTTTGCTGTGTTGGCCTCTGAATAAAGCTCTGGTGTTGGTGCCTCCCGATGGCTCGTCTCTGTGTGGTGATCCGGCTCAGAACCGAAGACCCAGGCGTGGGTAAGACTCTGGTGGTGTACTTCTTCTAAGAGAAGTGGGTACTGGCGCATGACTGGCAGAGGGTTGGCGTGCGGCCCATATAACATTCTGCTGGAGGAGACAACAGACGCAGCTATCCATTTCAGCTATAAGTCAGATGGAAAAATCCCATGGTTCTTAGGGTGTTGAAGGAAAACAAACATAACGCTTTTTCTTTGATGCCATTACTTACTGTCACTATTCCAGGGCTATTGGGTTCAAGGTCCTGG